TTTTATTATATGTGTCTATGTCATTGTTTGTACTTCCCCTCCCTGATTTTATGTGAGCCTCCCTGAGTCCCCTCAGGGAAAAGGGCGGCCTACAAATGTTAATAAAATCAAAATCAAATCAAATCAACTCACCAAATTTAAGAATCATAGTTCAACCCTGAGCTACATATACTTTTTTAATGGGGTTCATGTTTCTGTTGATATGTATTCATTTTGCATTTATATTTTTACTGTATTTACTGTAGATGGACCTAACAGCTGTGTTCTCAACCAAAAATCAACATATAATAAAAAAAAATGCATGGGTATAGCTGGCACAATACACATTAGCCAGTAACCAGCCATGCCTCCTGGTGTCTCCCCCCACCCCCACCCCCCAAAAGTTGAGCTGCAAGAGAACTGTGTCTATGATTTATCAATCCGTCTCACTGCTGAACACAAGTGTACTAAGAAAAAGTGTGGACATTAAATGCACTTTCTTGGATATCATTTAATTCAGGGGTCCCCAAACTTGGCCACTTTAAGACTTGTGGACTTCAACTCCCAGAATTTTCGGAGTTGAAGTCCACAAGTCTTAAAGTGGCCAACTTTGAAGACTTCTGATTTAGTGCCTCATAAAAACAGCTCCTCCGACTGCAAGAAGCCCCCCGCCCTCCTCCTCCTTGTGCATAGTAGCACAAACGCTGCCGGACTACTTCGCCGCCCAGGCCAGGGGTGAAAAATGCCCGGATGAAGCCTAATAAGGAGACGTCAGGACGGACAGTGGGCGGGTTAGTAGCGTGTGTGCAACGCCCGCTTGGGTTCCTCCCACTGATCCGCCGGGACGCGCGTGGGCTATCCGCCTCGATTCGCCGGGATCTGGGCCTTTCGGCGGCGGCAACAGCAACGAGAGACCTTCCCCCAAAATGCAGGTTAGCCAAATTAGGAAAGAAGAAGAAAGTCTGGAGTGCCTGCCTAATAGGAGCGAGATTTCGAGGGAGGGTTAACCGCCGGGGAGGTGAGAATCCGGAATCCGGATTGATTAGCTGCATATGGGTGCGTCGATTTAGCGTTGTATTTCTCAGGTTTGGCAGTCTGGGGATATGTGGACTTCAACTCCCAGCATTCGCCCACCCTGGAGGAATCCTGGGAATTGAAGTCCACATATTTACAAATGGCCAAGCTTGAGAAACACTGGAGGAAGCTACACGTGGTGGCGACTCTTCGCCTGTGTTTCTTTTTGTTTGCTGAATGTTCGTTCAGCGCATGCTCCGTGACCGCTTTTCCGGGTGCCGAGGATGAGTGTACAGAAGTTGAAGTATGTGTTCAAGAGTGTGAGAGCACTGATGATGTTACCTAGTTTGGATAATGAAACGTCTGCAAGCAAGCAACCCAAGCTCAGAGGGCACCAAGAACCCCTCATTTCAACCTGAACTACAAACTCTCTCCTTTATTAGGGTATATTCTTAGGACTCTCCTAAGTTCTTGCAGTAATTGCTCCTGTGTTTGGAGGAGTAGAAAGAATAAAGTCTGGTTTTGTTTTCGTTTATCTGCCTTCCTCTTGTAAATGATAGGGAAGGGAAAAGCTGAAAATTGTAACCAGACTATATATTAGTTGATTAGAGAAGATGGATTGGGTGCCTGAACTCACAAACAGTTGTGTCCTCTGGGGTAATGTAATTTTAATCCAACATAATGACTTTAAAGCTGCAAAGTATAATTAGTAAAATGACCCTTTAAAACAGACATGTTAAACTGGAGGCCCACGGGTTGGATGCATCAAGCACAGGCCACGCTTACCCTGGCTCCGCAAAGGGGAAAAACATCACGATATGTCATCATGTGACACCATTGAGTTTGACACACAGTGCTTTAAAGAAAAGAGGATAGCAACAGGGCTTCCCCCAATATTCCCAGTACTGTTTCTTAATACCGTAAGATAAATTATTTATTATTTAGCAAATTTATATAGCTGCCCATCTCACAAATTGACTTTGGGCAGCATACAACAAAATGGATAGTTAAAACAAGTATGCAAGTACAAAATCCAGAAACAATTTCCAAATAGAAAATTAAATATATTCTCTTTCTTCTTTGGATGAAGGAATCAATTTAACCATCTCTGGTTTTCCATGCAGAGGTTGTGAGCAGCTTTCTTTGGGAGATGGCAGACATTTATTCTTTATTGTTGCATCTGTAATATCTCATCCCAGCATCTTTTGTTATGATAGCACACTTGATTATAGTTGAAAGTCCAAGAAAGGTTTATTTAATGTCAGTTCTTAAAAGCCAGAGTACATCTCTTGTTACATAAAAGGATGTCCCAGAATTGATCTGTTCTTTTTCTTTTTTGTGTGTTTTCATACAATCCATACTTCCAGTATTATCACTTGAATTTTACTTTATTGAATTTTGCCCATCAAGGAGAGCATGTGTTAGTTTTCTGCTGGTCTTTTGATTGCATAAGAAACAGCATGAAATGATTAAACTTTTTGATTCCCATGCTTAATGCATTTTTAGCCACTATTATGATTTTGCTGGCATAATGATGCTGTGGTCACTTACATTGCCATGTCTTTATTTTCTCCTGTATGCAAATATTACTAAAAACACTTACGGTATATTAACTATTGGTTGAAAAATATTGCTGTTTTTTATATCTTAAGGCATATATTTGTACTGCAGTTTTATTATTTTTAGCTATTGGTTGCTTTTCTGTAGATTTTTTCTTATGGAAGCAGCTTGGATATTTACTCTGATACAAAAAATGTCAACTGAATTTTCTCCCTTAATTGTCTCTCTTTAAAGAGAACTATAGGATTAGCTGAAATATTTCATTTACTATGCACTATATCTGTGCAGAGATGCAAATTGGATTGTAGTCATGGGGTTTTGTATTCCTCCAATAATCCACTATATTTTTCAAAGGATTCTTCAAACTTTGTGGTGAAGTTGGTACAGTCTTAATATGTAGGGAGGTGAAATAAGATTGTCATGTTGGCATATGATGATGGTGCTCTTTATCGTTTTATGTTCTAGGATCCTAATGAAGATACAGAATGGAATGACATTTTGCGTAAAAAAGGCATTCTCCCTTCCAAAGAAAAGCTGAAAGAGCAAGAACAGGCGGAAGAAGAAAAGGAGCAGCAGATCCTCCAGCAAAAATCAGTTGGCAAGTAGTCTAGTTTAGAATGCTGAATTAATATGGAACTACTATTACGCAGGTTGCTGGGTTATTTATCACCTCAAAATATAGGAGCCTTCTCACTGCACACAAGGGCCTCATTAACTTCAGTGGCCCTTGTGTAATCATTGTATTTTGGGTTTGTGATGTCTTGGGTGAAAAGTTTTCAAAATTAATTCTTGTACTTGAAAAGTAAGGATCAGGAGTGTCTATGGAGATTCTCAAGTCATCCAAGTCATGGTTGTCCCAAAGGTGCTTTTTCAAGAGGCAACTGGACTTTCTGATTTTTCTTTGAAGACGTTTTGCTTCCCATCCAAGAAGCTTCCATCCATCCTTTCATTCCCCATCATTCAGTGAGAGCTGAAGAAGCATCTTGGATGAGAAGTGAAACATCTTCAAAGAAAAACCAGAAAGTCCAGTTGCCTCTTGAAAAAGCACCTTTGGGATAAGGAGCAGGAGAAATATTCAAAATTGTTTGTGTTTCTAATGGCAGGTTAAACTCAACTGAATTTCCAAATGCTGTCTACATTGTAGGCTGGGGTTTAATTCTCATGATTTATAATTGATAGACTTTGATCTACGTATATAATTTTAATGAAATACAGGTAACCTTCAATTTATGACTAATTAAGGCCAGAATTACACTGGTAAGTCATGCTGGTTGTTAAGCAGATCAACATGTAGTCACACCTGATTTTACATCCCTTTTTGTAATGGTTGTTAAGTGAATCACCATAGTCACTAAGTGAATACCATGGTTTTAAAAAATGCTGCAGTCATTAAATCAATCCATTATCTGCAATTAACCTTCTTCTCTGGAAAGAGGAAGGTAATGCAATTTTTTGGCAAAAAACCCACTGTAATTTGACTTTGTAAACAACCATAAATGAGACTAGTTATTGAGTGACCAAAATATGGTCCCATGACCGGTCGTAAAATTATTAGAACTTCAAATCCAGGTCATCCCTAGTCTTGGGGAGCTTCAATGGAACTTCAAATTGTTGCTAAGCATTTGTAAATATTGTAAATTGAGGAGTACCTGTATAATTTGATATAAGTATAAGTATGATTTTATTGCTTATTTTTATCCTATGACTATCATTAAGTGTTGTACCTTATGATTCATGACAAATTCATCTTCTCTTTTATGTACACTGAGAATACATAAAGAGAAGTTCCTTATGTGTCCAATCACACTTGGCCAATAAAGAATTCCATTCTATGCTATGCTATGCTTGGCTATTCTATTCTATTCTATTCTTAGCAGTGAAGGTACTCGGATAGCACAGGACTGTGGTATTCATTCATCTACAACCATTATAGAATGTCTCCTCTAGAACAAATTTCCAAACTTGGCCTGTTTCAAACTAAGTAAAGTAACATATTTAGGAAATTTGACTTAGATCAACTAATATAACTGGTAAGGTTGTTCATGGGACTGGAGAGATGGCCTTAGTATGTGATCAGCAGTAAGATTATTGTTTTTGAACCCATTTGCTTGATTCATGGGGTGCTCTTTTCAGAGTTAAAAATTCGTTTATTGAGCAAGATTGTCCCCCTTGGGAAGGATTATAATTGCCTTTCTTATTATACGTCATTTAAAAAAGAAGCGGATGATTGCTTCCTAAAATAAGAATTGGCTCAGTTGGAGCAGTAGCCTTGTAGCAAATGAATACTTCCAGCAAGTCATTTGCAGGAGCAAAGTTAATGAGATGGCATCATTCTGAGGGCAATAACAATTAGGTTCAAGTCTGTGTAGAAGTGATTCACTTTTCCTTTTGCAACATGTTTGATACACGAACATCTAATGAAGAGAACTGTGCCTAATTTAACAAACCATCATTTTCACAGCATGGTCAACATTAGGATTTCCCAGCTTTAGCAACTTAAAAACCTGTGGACCTCAACTGCCAGAATTCCCAAACCAACAAGTCCATAGGTCTTAAAGTTGCCAAGTGTAGTTGCTCTACACCACGAGTGTCAAACTCGTGTCATCATGGCGTCATCATATGACCTATAAGGACTTTTCCCCCCTTCGCTAAACCTGGCGGGGGCAGGCCAGCACATGACGCATCTGACCCACGGGCCGCTCATTTGACACCACTGTTCTACACTGTCCTACTGCAAAGTTTCTTAATGAGTTTCAACTATAAGCTCACCTGGAAGGATATTGAAATTGACACTCATCTGTTATTTCCCCAGTTTTTGGACTGCCTCCCTTGCTGAGATGAGCCTGGCACAACTATTTACATTTTTAAAGCCTTTAAGCCATTTTTTTTCTTATTTAAACTATTGGTTAATATTACTTTTTTTATTGGACTCAGTTGGTGGCTTTCACTTAAACCAATTTAAGTAAGAAAACATTAGAAAGATAAGGATGAAATATATAAGATAAGATGAAGTACAGTGTGTCCTCTCCTCCTGCTGCCCTACCCCTTGTGCTTTCTGACTTACTGAAATACAAATAATGTTCCTACCATCTGGACCCATGTTAAATCAGAACCTTGGATGGTATGAACTCTAAAGTGCATTCAATAACAGAGAAATAAAATTCTCCTTTAGGGCTTTTTGCAGAGGTTGAGAGAGCAACAGATGGTACAGGAAGAATGCAAGATTATGCTGGCTAAGGGACAAACTCACAAAGAGGACTGTTATTTATTTCTGCCAACACAACGGTGTCCAGAGCAAAAATTTGGTCGACATAACATGCAAGCTGTTTTTAAAGGGCTTCTATTCATACAATTTATATGATTCATATTCAAAAGAGATCTCCGTGTGTAATTAATGGTGGGATTCAAATTTTTTTACTACCAGGAGAAGGATACTATAAAAATTTCCACTCCTTCCCCACCCCAGGTAAAAGTTACTGCAAAATCCCCATTTCCTCCCCATCAGCTGGGACTCGGGAAGCAGACAATAGATGGGAGCGGGGCCAGTCAGAGGTGGTATTTACCAGTTCTCAGAACTACTCAAAATTTCTGCTAACGGTTCTCCAGAAATGGTCAGAACCTGCTGAATACCACCTCTGTGTGTAATTCTGTATTGTCTACAGTCTGAAATTTGTCCTTGGTAAGAGTTACCAAACTCTTGTTTGTACTGATGACCCTGTATTTCTCCATATCAGTTAAGACCTATGAAGATATGACTCTGGAGGAACTTGAAGAAAATGAAGATGAATTCAATGAGGAGGATGAACGTGCTATAGAAATGTACAGGTTAGACTATTCTGTTAAATGTGCCATAAATAAAGATATAGTTATAATTGGAAATTATTGTTGACTTTATAAGGTATGGTAAAGAACTCTGGATAAACTTTCCAATTTTAGCCAAGTCAAGCCTTCTTTTATAACTTATAAAATAACTATTTGTATACCGGAAGTCCTTGTTTCAGACTGCCTCAAAGCAGCCATTTGCATTTAAAACAACAATGAAAAGGCAACTTTAGAAACAATCCTTGAAATATAGGTAACCTTTGAGGGCCTATAAAGCAAAAAAAAAGAAGAAGAAGAAGCTAAAATTAGATCATAAGTACGGTTGTGGTCTCACTTAGTGGCTGCCTCAATTAGTGACCAAGTTGCCAGTCTGAATTATTGCTAAAGGAGGACTACTTGTATGTACAAATTCAGAGAAACAGTGCCTACATAAGTGTAATCTAGCAGTAGGATCATTGGCACTCAGATCTGTACAAAGCATTTGAAAAAAAGAATGGTTGGCAATATATAGGATTGTGTGCAAACAGCTTGTTTCCAATTCCTGACCACGTCTTTTACAAGGATTGTGGATTGCTTTGGAAATTATTCCTACTGTCTCTACGTGCACTGAGCAAAATAGCCGTGCGTATGTATGCCAATGTGTCATAGCATATAAGAACAGAGAAGTAGAAAATTCATATCAAATTAATGAATATTATAGAAGATATCTATAATTTACAAAAATGAATTAAGCGACTTACTCAAAAATTAGAGTAATTTATATTATACTTAAACCAGTCAAACCCATAAAAATAAACAGGTTTTCAGTGTTCCAAGTAACACCCCCAACGAAAGAAGACTCCAAGGCTTTCCTCAAAGTTCCATTTTATTAGAGATGTCATATTGGCACATCTGGGAAAATCCGAATCTGAAAGTTTCCAGGTTTTCCTCACCCAAATGAAAGTTCAAGTCCCTGCCCAGCACCCGCATGTCTGTCACATGATCCAATCAGGCACCATCCAAAACTGGAGATGCCTCCCAGTCACACAATCGCAGCTTCAGGGCAAGGTGTCCTTGACTCTGAGAAAGAATGTTATTTTGACTATATCTCACCCATACTCCATATAATCCCCCCTCCCATTTTCCCGCAATAGAAATTGTGGCAGGCCTGAAGGCCCAGTGCAAAAGATGGCTTCCAGGTCTGACACAGGTATCGTGCACATGCAATAAACCTTCAGTTAACTTTGACATTGCCTGACATAATGATAAATGTTCTTATAAGGGACAAAATGAATGTAACAGTGAATTTAAAAAAAATATTTGCTCTATACGATGCAGGTGAAGCTTCTGCTTCTAAATCAATAAAACACTATGATTTTGGCATTCATTCAAGAAGAAACCTAACGCCAGTAAATGTATTATGTAGCCAACTTTATCTGGGAAATTATATTTCCAAATAAGTAATTGAAATGTTATCATTAAAATGAGAATTAGATAAATTAGAGGGTATTGCAGTAGTGCCCTTCCTTGGATATAAGCCTCTTTTAGCAGTTTACTTATAAGTATAGATAATTGAAGAAAGATAAATGTTTGCCTGTGCAGTTCCTAAATCCTTTAGCTGGATCAGTGCGAGTACCAGTTTTTTAGCCCTTCAAAGCACTTGCTCAGCTTTTTTAAAAGACCCAGACTTGTCCATAACTGCTAATATTGTATAATGTATATAATACATATTTTATAAAGTTTAGTATTGGGATGATAAGAAAGGCAAGGTATCTCTGTCAGATACCTAGGACAGCCTGTGTCAAAGTGGACAATACATGACTGGTATATAAAACAACTTCCTGCCTCTATTATAATCTATAAGATCTGATATTTCTCTTACAGTTTGGGGCTACTGAATCTAAGTGATGATATTTAAACAATTAAAAACTAGAGCCAAAATTAGTGGATGTACTGCAGTTGGTGATGAAGACTTTCCTGAATCTCGAGACACGTTGCATCTGGAGAGTAGTTTTAAATATCCTTCCATGCCCCACCCCCTTCTCTACTACTCTTAATATCTCTTTATGCCTTGTTTTAATCTCTCAAAAATGTTTATCTCCCTTATATTTTGATGTATAAAGGGGAAGAACCACGGTTTATGACATAATGTGAGTGGTAAGCCTGATTACTGGGATTTGTTTAACCATCCATTGTAAAAACAAACATAGTTTCAGAGGATAAATGGACTACTGATAGTTCTAAACAGTTTGTTGTCTTTTAAATATTTGCTTGTAATATTGGGATAAAAGCATTGCCCTGCATTCATTAAAATTGTCAAAGTTTTATTGTGATGTTATGTATTAGATCTCCTGCTAAATATGGTCAGAACAAGGAATGATCACTCTGGATAGAAATTCTGGGATTAGCAGCCCCAGGCATCTGAAGGACCCAGATTGGAGAAAATTGGCTCTATTCTGAATAACTAAACATTTTTTTATAAAGAGGAAATATTTTTATATGTATATGTTTCTTTTCTTGATTCTTATATTGTGCAGGCAACAGAGAATAGCTGAATGGAAAATGTCCCAAGCAAAGAATCAATTTGGACAAGTTTTGGAAATCTCGGGACAGGATTATATTCAGGAAATTACAAAAGCTGGCGAAAATATCTGGGTGATACTGCATCTTTACAAGCAAGGGTAAACAAGCATTTCAAGGCTTTTTCGTCTTCCTGGATAATTTTTCTCTAGTAGATCTGATCATTGTGCTGCAGTATGGCACATGCTGCTAATTGTTGTCCAAAGAGAGGCATTAAAAGTATAATTTCTCCTTTTATGCCCAATTCAGTTGCAAATCAATAGAGGTTGCAATAGAGTTTTCCGCTTAACATTGTAATAGTCTTAACCATGTGGAAATGAGGATGGTTTCCAATTCAACATGAGAGATCCCCTTCCCTTTTTCTCAACATAACCATTCATATAGTGATCATTCTAAACTACAATGGCATGGAAAAAAGTAACTTACAATCAGTCCTCACATTAGCCCTGTCGCAGTGTCCCTTGGTCAAAATTAGTTTATTTGGCAACTGCCATTTTTTATAATGGCAAAAAAGGTTGTAAAATCGGCTATGAGTCACTAAACCTTGTTTAGCGATGGAAATTCTGGACCCAATTGTGATTGTAAATTGAAGACTACTTTAATAGGCAGTCTGCTGACACATGTAGATACAGTTCTATTTGTAAACAGTAGCTGCAATTCATGAATATTGCCCATTATGGACATTTGCTTTCTTTTGCATATGGGTCTTTGTTTTTCTTTCTTCAAATGTAGTATTCCCCTCTGTGCCTTGATAAACCAACACTTAAGTGGACTTGCCAAGAAGTTCCAGGATGTCAAGTTTGTCAAAGCTATTTCTACAACTTGCATACCCAACTATCCTGATAGAAACCTCCCCACAATCTTTGTCTACTTGGAAGGTGACATCAAGGCCCAGTTTATTGGGCCACTGGTATTTGGAGGCATGAATTTGACAAGAGATGGTGAGTGTCTATTTCACAGTAATCAGAATAATTTTCTGCAAGAAAATTGGTTAAGGTAGTCTGCGACCAAACTTCAGTGTATTCTTATTTTATTTCCTTAAATAATCTCCATATCAAAAAAGTTAAGGTTGCAAAAAATAAATCTATTAAATAAAAGAGATTTTGGTTTTTGGAGATAGCGGTACTCCTTTCCTTCTGCTTTACCAGTTACTGTTCCTATATTTCCTATCAACTGAAGCTGTGCTGAATTGGCATGGATAAATGGTGTGCTAGTTTTTAAAATTGATTGATTTGAATCTTAAATAATAAAAAATGTTTGGCTTCCTTTTTTCGGGAGCTCCGATTGCATCAGCATAGTAGGCAAGACTTGTTATATTTGGCACATCTTGGCAATTGTGTATGATGCATGTAATCAATGCTTTTTTTTGTAGGAGGAAAACTCTTGACTATTAACATCAGTCCTTTTAGAGTACGTGTTAGATAAACTGTATTATAGAAGCAAAATGAACATACTTTTCTAACATAGAAATAGGGACGAGTGCTCCCCTCTTAATGTTGTCTACTTCATTTTGTTCTCTTATCCCTTCCTCCCCCTAGTTCTTTAGTTACTTTAATCATCACATCTGTAGAACTAGTCTTGAGTAGAAAATCCAGATCATGTTAATTTTCCTTTTAAGATAACATAAATGAGATTGACTGATTAGGTTGCCCACAGAGTTAACAGTATGATATCTGATTAACTTGTACTATTGACTTGCTTTCATTTCTGGGATGTAAGCCAGTGTGAACATGTGCAATAAAAACCTGCTGCTACATGGAAAATATCTGTTTTGTTGCTGTAAAGAAATAAGCAGGGAATTGGGTGTTTATGTCTTATGAGCTCTACAGAAGATGCCCCCCTCCATTCCAAACAGTAGTCGTAGTTCCAAATAAATTACAAACAAGATAAAGGAGGTGAGATGAAGTGTCCATTCTTGGCTAGCTGTGGCATGTCAGTTAATGTCCTGAAGGCTGCTTCAAGGAGTTTGTGTAGAACTTAAGCCCTATAGTAAAAGTGGAAAAGAAAACAACAGATGGAATTGTTCAGAGGGAGAAGGAACATGGTGATACTTTCTTCTTTCCAACTTCACGAGGCATTCACAATGTGTCATTTCTCCCTGTTGTTTATCTCTTACATTTAGAATTAGAATGGAAAATTTCTGAGTCAGGTGCCATTAAGACAGACCTGGAAGAGAACCCCAGGAAACAAATTCAAGACCAGATGATGACGTCCATCAAGTGCTCTGTTCCAACAAAGAGAGATGAAAGTGACTCAGAGGAGGATTAAGGCCACCACATGTGCAGCTCTATTTGCTGTGCCCAATTACTCTTTAATGAAACCAGAATATTTATTACTATAAAATAATGAGTTTTATTTCAGCCTAAGGAATATCGGTGGTGGTAAAAAGAAACTTCATTATTCGTACAGGAATAAAGTGAAAGCAATTTTTAAACTTGACGTGCCATTGAAATCACTTGTGATGGACCATCTTGCCTACAAATGTGGTATCTGCTTGTACTCTAACTGTGGTATACTCTCCCCTTTGCTGCAGTGTCACTTTAGGACTTGATAAAAATTGTATGATAAATTTTGGGAGAGCTACATTGATGGTTGCAGGCCTGTATTGATGATTAACCTAACCTGCAATAAGTTAATATTAACATAAAGTTATCTAAATCAGTGGGTTTATCTGCATATTTGTTTAAAAATCCTGAAATCTGATCAAGAACAGGTAGTTCTCAACTTACAACTATTCATTTAGTGACTGTTTGAAGTTACAACAGCACTTTAAAAAGGGAATTATGACCAGTTTTCACATGACCGCTGCAGCATCCCCATGGTCAGGTGATCAAAATTTGCCCACTTGGCAACGGGCACGTATTTATGACTGTCCAAGGGACATATAATCAACATTTGTAAAGTTCTCAGCTATTCTCTTGGCTTGCTTGTGACAAGCAAAATCAATGGGATAAGCCAGATTCACTTAACAACTATGATTCATTTAACAACTGGCTCATTGACATTTTGAATTCAATTGTGGTTGTAAATAGAGAACTCCCTGTAAAGGAAATACACAACAGTTTGAAATAAAAATTGAATCTGTTTTTCCTCCTCTGTATTCATGAGTTAGACTTAATTTATAACAACTGTAACTATACTTTATGGATCATTAATAACACAATGATTTTAAACTGTAAAACACTTTCTTCAAATTTTGGATATTTAAGTAATAATGGTCAAATGTGCAGAAAACATTGGCTTGGATGATTTCAGACTAGCAGTTAAGAGTAATGGGAATATTCACTGTTGCACTGTTGTAAACAATCTTGAAATTACATTTTCTATAAATTTTAAGCATAAAACGTTTTGTTTACTAGTAAAACAAGGATAATGATTTATTTAAATCTTGTCTCCTATGCTGAAAGGACTTACCTGCAATTAGTATAGAAGAAACCAGGAGAAACATGATAGCAGTGTTTCAGTATTTGAAGGGCTGCCACAAGAAGGGGTCAACCTATTTCCCAAAGCACCCGAAGCCAAGACAAGAAACAATGGATGGAAACTCATCAAAGAGAGATCCAATCTAAAGCTAAGGAGAAATTTCCTGGCAGAATAATCAACCACTGAACAGCTTGTCTTTAGAAGTTGTGGGTACTCCATCACTGGAGTTTTTTAAGAGGAGACTGGACAGCCACCTGTCTGAAATGGTATAGGATCTCCTGCTTGAACAAGGGGTTGGATTAGAATATCTCCAAGGTCCCTTCCAACTCTGATATTTTATGTTCTAAACCTCAATCAATTAGTCACTGATAACATACAGATTGTATTTAAAAAGTATCATCTTAAATTCATGTGTTCAGTTTACAAACTCATGACATTTTTTCATTTTTTGCTTGAATTTCAGACTGCTTGAGTTGGACTAATAGAATGATTTTGTAATTCCTTGAATTCCAAGTATCAAGAATTTAGTTCCTTTCCTGGCAAATTCCATAACAAAACCATAATCAAGATTGAACAAATATCTCTGTAAAAGAGACAAGGTTCACTCCTTTCTGATCTCAAATGGACCTTTGCAATACATAGAGCAAAACCTTTACATTGGACAACTGTGAAGTTCCCAAGAGATGACCTAATTAATTTACGAGCCTCGAGACAGAGTTCAAATAAAACCCCTTCATTTATTAGGATCAACATCTTAGCATTACTTCTGTGGAGCCTAAACTGACGCTTAATTGCGTTTGAACTTTATCCTCCTAACTTCCCCCTTCTGTCCTGCGTCATAAATCATATTCTCCAACTAGATTGTAGAAATATGAGACCGAAGGTATGCATAGAATTCTCCCTTCTAAAATTGATAGAGTCATGGAAACACTTTAGACGTTGACATCCGTCTCCCCTTACTTCCTGAAAGCGATCTGAGTAAAACGAAGCAAGTTGAGTACAGGTATAACTTAGGGATGTATCCCTCCCCCAGGCTTGCTTGGATTTTCTGCATGGAATTTTGCTATAAGATGATCAGCCTGGATATTTCTACTTTTCACCCAAGATGCCTCTGATAAGGGGTAGCACTTCCACTTGATTAAGTATTCGAGTCATCTCCTGTGCCACCTTGAATTGAGGATTCGTTGAACTTCATAATGTGTTTGGCCCCCTATGACCATAGGGCCAGGGGGCTCCCAGGGTAGCAGTCTCAGAGTGGATCCAATCACAGGTTTCAAGAGGCTACTATGAAATGCTGGGTGTATCTTCCACAACAATCAAGGTAGTTTTAATTGTACTGTGTCTGGGTTGATTTTTACTATGGGGAATGGTCCCATAAACTTCGGCCCCAGTTTCTTGCTAGGCAGTTTTAATCTCAGATATTGTGTGGAGAGATAAACCTTCTCTCCCACCTGGAATGGCGGTTGCAGAGCCCAGTGTTTATATGCCTGTTTCTTATAGCAGAGGTGGGTTCCTACCAGTTCGCACCTATTTGGTAGAACCGGTTCATCAACTCTACCGAACCGGTTAGAAGAGATTCCACCAGTGGACCCGGAAAGCAGGCTATACCTACAGAAGAGGTTCCAAAATTTTTTGAAACCCACCACTGGTCCTTGGATAT